AAGTAAGCAAATAGTCTCAAGGGCGAGGGAGGCAATCATGCTCGGTTGGCTTCCTCCCGAGAATCCACCGCCTTGCCAGCAGATGCCTCTATTTGCACTCGTTTGATCTCTGAAACTTGTGCCAACTCCCAGAATAACTCTGCTCCAACTCAAGAACACACTGGTGCAAAATTCATTTATGACCAGTCGGCTACCAATGGTGGCTGTTGACTACCATTGGTGGCCGGTCAGCTGCTTCTGGTGGCCGGTCGGCTGTCGGCCATTATTTTCCTGAACTTTCGTTTTTTGCTACAACAGAGAGCAAACAGAGGCAAAGCAGTGTATTCTCAAGGAGTGTATGTACTGTTACCCTCCTTATCATTACACAAATTCAAAGGAGTGTAACTCTTGATTCCCAAACCATCAACCAAGCATTTTCAATGCACGATGGCCAAAGAACCAAGGTTGTACAATTTCAATGAGTGCAAAATAAGACTCGACAAAACCACAACCTATCATGCATGATCAAGGGTGATGGTGACCAAGAATAATGGCACGTTTCATCACTTTGAGTATGAAACGTTTCATTTTTTTTGTCTTCGGATTAATGTCCGATCCGAACACATGCAATGCAACACAAAGCTGGTTAGCTTTTACTTGTCCAATTTATTTACTCATTTTACATTACCGATTAGTCCTTTAACCAATTAAGTCCAAAGTGAGAGTCCTATAATTGAAAGTAGGCTTTAAACCACAAGTGCCTTGAGCATGAAAGAGTCCTCATGCCGTTGGTTAGTAGAAACCCTCAAGAGAGGATTAAAACTATTAAGCACAAGTGTCTCAATTTCACACTCAAGCCAACAAAGGGTTCAAAGTCACTTTCAAAATAAATGAAAGAGTGAAGAAAAGAGGGAGATGGCAGATATTTTAGTGCTGAAATGGGATGCAAAATGACACTAAAACATGCAAGCAACTCATGCAACTCATGTTTAAAAGCCTAGAACATTAAGTTAGTGAAGGAGATTGCACCACAACCGCACAATACAAGACCCAAAGGACCAAACCAACTCAAAACAGAGCTAAGACCAGTCAAAATAGTGGCCAAAACATGCTGAGATTAAGGTACAAAATGCTAGAAAACATGCTCACATGTTAGCTTGCAAACAAGACTCAAGAGCAACTCTAAAAAGCAATGAAAGAGTGGAGCAAATGAGTATGTGACAGAGCTATATACACTGAAATTACATGTAAAAAGACACTACAACATGCAATCATCTCAAGCAAATCATGTTTAGAGGCCTAAAACACCAAACTAGTGAAGCCATTTGCACTACAACTATGCAAAACAAGGCTCACATGACCAAAGCAGCCCAAAACAGAGCTAAATCATGCCAAATCAGAGGCAAACATATGTTAAAAATAAGTTAAGTTAAGCTACAAAAACATGCTACCATGTGATGCTAACTAGGCATGCAAGTGAGACACAAGGAGGGAAGGCTAACCCCTCCATTTTTGGACTTCAAAACATGCTTTCCACCACTGAAATAACTCTGAATTTCAGTGGTTTAAAGACCCAAAAAGTTTGATTTAATATGCTAAAAAATGGTGCAAAAAGCTTCACAATTAGGCAACAAAAAATGTGGAATACCCCTTAACACAAAATGACCTCAAACCATCATGTTAAGCCTAAAAAATCAGAGGTTTTGTAGTTGAACACTAGGCCAAAAACAGTATAAAAAGATGGCAAAGCAAGTGATTAAAACAAAGCCTACAAGGCAAGTCTTATACCTCTTGAAGCACAACACAAAACAAGCACAATTCTGAGCTTAAACCACCTTCAAGAACTCAAACTAAACCTCAAAAAACCTCAGCTCCAAGGTGAGAATATTTGGTTAAGGGTCCTTGTGCAAAAGTGTAGAAAAATCTAACTATAAGGCGCAAAATAAGAAGAGAGAGAAAGGATTCTAGAGAGAGAAAATTTTGTTCCAAATTGTCTAACCCTCCAAAATGGGGGAGAGACCCCGCTATATATAGAAAAACAAGAAACAAGCTTGTATTCATCCCTCCATACACGTGTATGGAGATGGCCTTCAGTGAACAACAGCTGGCACAGTTGGCAAATAAATATCTGAAAAAGGAGAAAGGCCGCCGGCCATCATCAGTGGTCGAACGGCCATCAATGTAGCCGACCGACCATCAACATAGCCGACCGGCCACCACTGGTGGCCGACAGGCACAAGTCATGGCCGACAGGCCACCTTCTTCTCCAAAATTGAAGCAACAAGCTCTTGGTCCACAACCAAGCACAAAACAAACAAGATTAGAGGCTCCAAGGCAAGGCGCTCAGCCGAGACCATCAGGGACTCGAAACGAACACGAGCATACAAAACCATCAAGTGTTCAAATGATGACGTCCAACTCTTGAGGACGGTCAAAAATGGGGTGTCTACACCTGTGTTTTCCATGTTAGAGAAGACAAGAGTTTTGTTGATGGAAACAGTTCAAAAAAGAAATGAAGTAATGAAAAGGTACAACAAAATTGGTATATGTCCTAAGATTCAAAAGATTTTGGAAAAGGTAAAGGTGAGTGCAGCTGGATGAATTCCTAGATGGAATGGGGGTTTCCAATATGAAATTGTTGGCCCATACGGTGAGCAATATAAGGTGGACTTGAAAGAATGGACTTGTGGATGTAGGAAATGGGATTATGGGATCTGTCAGGCCTTCCTTGTGTCCATGTTGTGGCTGCTGCAAACTATATAGGTGAAGAACCAGAAAAGTATGTGCATCATTACTATAAAGTTGAAACCTATCTCAGGATTTATGAGAACATGTTAAGTCCAATCAATGGTAGACAAATGTGGCCAACAACTCAATATGGTAAAGTGCTACCACCTGATGTGAATAAGAGAGCTGGGAGGCCAAGATTGAATAAGAAGAAGGACACAGATGTCCCAATTGATGCAACTGATTCAAGTAAGCTGGGAACGAGTGGAATTCAGATGACAAGCAAGAATTGTGGCAAGTTGGGACACAACAAGAGGACATGCAAAGTCAAAGGCCAATTCACCTACCTGAAAGATCCCGTGAGTTCCACTCAAGTAATTCATATTTTTTTTATGCATTTTGTTAACTTACACATCGCTAACTTTTGTTTTTTAGTTTTTGCAATCCCAGCATGAAGGAAGCCATGGGCAAACCCAAACTGAAGGGAGCCAAACTCAAAGTCAGGTAGAAGGAAGCCTGGTTGGGAGTCAGGTTACAGAAGCAACTCAAGTTAGGAAGAAGAAGCTGGCTGTAAGTTTTACAAAGGCCTTATTTGTTACTTTAAATAATGTCTTCCTTGCATATGTCCTAACAATGGTGATGGCTATTGCAGGTATAAAGGAGAAAGGTTATGAGAACAAGTGACTCAACTCCATTGCAAGCAAGTCAGGATGTGCAGGGGTCTACAGTAACTTCCAATACTAACATTCCTCTACAAGGTCAAATGAGATGGAGAGGAAGAGTGGTGTACAATGCTAGTGCTGTCAAATCTCTTGTGGGTCAAACCAAGAATGCAACTGACACAAAGTAATGGATGTGAAGGACCACTATTGTTTTATTTATTTTTATTTTTTTATTTTTAAATGTTGGAGAAGGTTTTTGCTACTTTTGTTCATGGAATACAATGTAATGGATGTGAATGCTTTTGCTACTTTTGTTCATATTCCGTAACCTTCATAGTGATAGGGGATTTTTGTACATTTGAAGCCTGATTTTTGTATTGACTGCCCCTTTCTTAGTATATGTTTTGCACGGCATGAATGACAAGTGTGTCAACTGATCAAAGTTTGAAAGATAATTTATTGTATTTCTGCTGCTGTTTCCAAGTCTTGATGTTCATTGGTGATGTTCATTGTTCATTGAATTTGGAGTGACAATTATGGTCACAGATTGTGTTTCAACTTCTGTATGCTTCCTTTGTCTATGTCAAAGTCACCAATCACAAAATAATAGAGACAATATTAATAAGTCACCAAGCACACAATTTTCATCTCAAAAACATATTTTGCATTAACAACAGTTCACCCATTGCATATGATTCATAAACAGGATACAAATTCCATTCATTCTTACACTACCATACAACTTCAAACTTTACATTACAAACCATATTCCTACAACCAACCATGACAAAACCAAGCAAATCCATAATTTCCTCTCTCTTCCGGTCCTTCTCTTCAGTTGTGCTTCCATCTCATTCAACTTCTTCAACAGCCCAAGAATGATCTGCACTGCCCGATCGCACATGGGTGGGTCTACCCAGGTAAAGTGCTTACAACCATTGTTAGGGCAATTAAGAAATCTCCTCCCAGGATTTGTGTCTGTCCATGCTGTGTGTATTAGCCTTCTTCTTCCACAAACATTGCAAAACATCTTGTCTACACCACTTGTGTTCCATCTCCCTTGATTTCATAAGCTTCGATTGTTCCTCATTTATTCTCTCCTACTAATTTCATTCTGTTTTTATAGGTTACAGGGAATACAAGAGAACGTTAGGTTTTGGGGGAAAAGCCTTCATTTTCCTTCCATGTGAAAGTATATGGGGCCACGTCACTCATTCCGTCCATTTTCTTGACGAAAATAAATGGCAAGGGTAAAATTGAAAGGAATTCACATAGTATGGGGTTATGCAAGAAAATAGTAGTATGAGGGGGGGGAGGGTTCATTGAAAATCGTGACAAAATATAAGAATAAAAATAAAATAATCTCGATTTTTAAATTAGTAATAAAAAAAAATGTATAATTTCAATTAAACAAATCTTATTGATTGTGAACTAATTGTATCCATAGAGAATAATTGAATATGAACCAATACATGTCAAGAATTGGTCAATACAAATAATTTTCATTCTCACCAATATATGATATATATGTCCACATCGAAAGAGCAAAGATTATAATTCTATAGACTAAACATTAGTATAGAGTCGTAAAAATATCAAGCTATGTCACATGGCCTCTTTGAATACCACCAATAGAAATAATTAAAATTTATTTAATTATAAACTGTAATTCATCATTACAGTATTATTATTATTTGAACAAATAAAAATTGTAATTTACAATCCATCTTTTTGTCTCAACAATATCAAACGCAAGAAAGAGAATAAATGGAAAACAAATGGGCCTTCCACCAAAACTCTTATCCTCAAAACTGTACCACATCACCTTAACCATTTATGTGCAACACCATGAACGACGACTCCCCCCCATCTGTTGTTTCTCTCCGACAACCGAAAGTATAACAAAGTTGTAGAAATTCAAGTGCTCTGCAATTGTTCTGGTTGGAATCATCTCTGGAAATTCAGCAGCAACTGAACCAAGGTCGATTCGATACTTAACAAACCACTCTGAACCGTCTCTCTAATTCATAGATGTTGAACTGCGTTCTTGGAGGACGATACCTCTCGATCAGATGTAATTGGTCACCCCGACTCCCCAAAATAGTTAAACCACCTCCGATTGTAGCCTGATGGAAGTGGAGGCATCAGCATTATTTGAAGACACTCTTTATCAACATCAAAACGCAACGAATCTCCCCGGATGCTGAGCTAAGACACCCAACTAATACACATTAATGTATTTTATGATGGGATAAAATTGTAATAAAAAAATATGAATGGATTCCAAAGAAAGAAGTGTGGTGCTATTAGTAGGGGTGACCACCGGTCGGGACAAGTTGGGTTTGGGCAAAGCTTGCACCATCTGATAAGAAATTTTGTATCTGTCCAAACCAAGTCCAACCTGAACATCAAGCTAATATAGTCATCTCAAGCCTAATCCCGAAGGAAATATAATTCCCAAATTCAACCACTTACATATATAGATAGTTTTTTAAAAAATGAAATGCAATAAAACTTGTTTCTATAAAAAATGCATTAAAACCATTCAATCTAAGATTCCAATATACAACAGAGATTATTAACAAAGAAACAATTAAACAGTCATGTTAAGTTAAACGAAGTCTCTACTCACTAAAAGAGTTCAACAAATAGCCAATAATAATGATTGATGTGATGAAGCAAATAATATAAATTAAAAAAGGCAAATGAAGAATTAGTAACAGAAATGACGGGGCTACAGTCTACAGAAAGAGAGAAGCTGAGATCAAATAAGGGGGAATGGAAGAGGGAGAGCTACAGTGGTTGAGCTCTAGTTGATTAAAAGAAATAAATAAACAGATTACTTGCATAATACTGGAGCATAGAAGGGGTGTTTATATATTTTTCAATGGGAAAAAGCCTATGGTGTGCACCCTATCACAAATTGGTGGAACTTTACGATAAAATTTTGTACCATTAACCACAAAATACGTAACCTCATCACAAATTAACATAACAAAATGTCCAAAATTTTGTGATTCATGTTAAAAATGTTTGTAGCTTGATTATAACTTAGCCCGGCCCTCCCGGCCAAAATAGCATTCCCAAGCCCTCTAAAAAAATAGGATTGGGTGGACCAACGAGACAATACCGACCCCTAGCTATCAGCACTCATTTTGAAAACACGATTTCACAAAACAATAGAAATTTAAAATATAAATTAAAAAATAATTAAATTTAAAAAAATATTTGAAAAATATATATATATATGATTTAGTTAAAAACTCCACCACATTATCCTGTTCCTAAACTCTATTGTGGTGTCTTTACATCTACTTAAAATAACTTAGGCCTCGTTTGGCAAGAGGCTATTTTAGCCAATTAGCCAAAAAGCCAACAACCCATACCAAAAAGTCAAAGATTCTCTTTTCTCTCTACTTTTTGCACATCTTTTCGTAATTAGCCAAAAAGTCATCCCAAACATATAAGTTTTTTTTACCTACCTTTTTAGCCAAATAGCCAAAAAGTTACTAAATTAGCATGTTCCCAAACGAGGCCTTAAATTTTGTATTTTTCTTTATACACCCCCATAATATTCCCTACCAATGTTTTAAAAGGCGTGCTTAGGCACACTCACCTAAGCATGAGGCGCAATGAGGTGTAGCCTTGTGCTTCAAACAGATCGAGGCGAAGCAAGGGCTTTTTTTTTGAGGCGCGAGCCGCGGGCTTCAAAGGCTTTACCTATTTTTCTACTTCAACTGTTAATTAAGTACTTTTTTTGTGGGCATAGCCACAGGGAATAAAAATTCTTCAATATAATGACCAAATGTGATCAAAAGAGAGCAAAAAGTGATTAAAAAAAAAAATTCCTAGGTGGAGAAGATTAAAAAATGCGATCAGAAAGTGAGAAGACGTTCAGCTTCTTCTCTTCTTCTTCGGTGGTTCTCTTTCTCTTCCTCTATTCTTCGATGAGTTCTTTTGGTTGGGTTATCTCTTTGCCTCTGTTTTTTCTTTATTTCTTTTTCTTTTCTTTTCTTATTTTTTTTTCTCTTCTTCGATGTTTTCTCTTCATGGGTCCGCCTCTATTTTCTTTTCTTATTTTTCTTCTCCTCTTCTTTTCTTATTTTATTCTTCTCTTTTTCTTTTCTTGTCCTGCTTCTTCGATGGGTTATCTCTCTATTTTTTCTTCTCTGTTATGCTTACGAAGCTTGCTTTATGATTTTTAGAATTCTATATATATATTTGTTATGTTGAAAAGTTTGCCTATTTTATAATTTTGCTTTTCTTCTACTACTTGCGCCTCGGTGCGATTGTTCCCTACTGTACCATTCCTAACCTCACATCTTGTTTCTTCTACACACTCCCTCATAGTTCCTGTCTCTCTCTCTCTCTCTCTCTCTCTCTCTCTCTCTCTCTTCCACCACCACCACACATAGGAGAGAAAGGTGACGAGGTTGGCAAGAAAAAGGTGACATATCTAGAATTTCAGAAGGTGGGAGGTTCTATTCTTCGATGAGTTCTTTTGGTTGGGTTATCTCTTTGCCTCTGTTTTTTCTTTATTTCTTTTTCTTTTCTTTTCTTATTTTTTTTTTCTCTTCTTCGATGTTTTCTCTTCATGGGTCCGCCTCTATTTTCTTTTCTTATTTTATTCTTCTCTTCTTCTTTTCTTGTCCTGCTTCTTTGATGGGTTATCTCTCTATTTTTTCTTCTCTGTTATGCTTATGAAGTTTGCTTTATGATTTTTAGAATTCTATATATATATTTCTTATGTTGAAAAGTTTGCCTATTTTATAATTTTGCTTTTCTTCTACTACTTGCGCCTCGGTGCGATTGTTCCCTACTGTACCATTCCTAACCTTACATCTTGTTTCTTCTACACACTCCCTCATAGTTCCTGTCTCTCTCTCTCTCTCTCTCTCTCTCTCTCTCTCTCTCTTCCACCACCACCACACATAGGAGAGAAAGGTGACGAGGTTGGCAAGAAAAAGGTGACATATCTAGAATTTCAGAAGGTGAGAGGTGACGAAGAGGTTCATGGTGAGGCTAAGGGAAACAAGGGAAAGGAGAGGATGGCGGAGCTTAAGAAAATGAGGAAAGCAAGACAATGGAGGGAGGAGGGGTGGCAAAAAGTTGGTTATATATTTAAATTGGATCCTGATGACTGCTCCGATGATAATGTTGAAACAAAATAGTCTGCAAGGAGGTCAAAAGACACATACATATAAATCTTTGTCAACTTGATTTGCTACAAATTTCAAGTCATTCATACTTCTAGGAAGAGAAGTAATAGCTTCATGGTTTTTATATGCAATTAATATCAACTGACAACTTGGTTTTGTACAAATTCAATAATAGTTTTCAAAGAGGTTGGTTCTTTTTCATTCATACAGAGCCACATTTGCTGGTTCTTTTCCATAGACTCTGAATTCATCCAAGGCACTGAACAATAGAGTAATAACTTGGAAGAAATTTGCCCCATATAGCAATGAGAATGTAATGTAAGTCAAAACTTATTCTCCATTTCCCTCACCTTTCCTTTCCCTTTCCTTTTCCAAATTTCTAGCCAAATCTATGATCCAAACACAGCATTAGCAAAGCTAATCAAATCCTAAGGCAGATACTAGTGTGATAACATTCCTGGTTGTACTTAACAGTATAAAATCCAAGTACCTGCAATCACCCAAACCACCATTGTTGGGCAAGGAGAGAACTTGAAATAGACTTAATGCATAATGAGGCTGAAGCATCCCCATTGTGCTATTCTATGGGTTTAGCTATTACTTTCACATTTCCTTGATTTTAATAAATGGTTTCTGGCTCATTCTCTTTGCCCCATTAATATTTTTCTTCTCTCTTGAATGAATCAACAAAAGAGCAAACATGTAGTCCTACATCTTAGCAAAACTAATCGACTCCTAGCCAACAAAATCTCAACAACTTTAGGGACCCTAATATGTTTAGAGAATATTGAAGGCAAACCTCCTGAAAACAAATCCATTTTGTTGTCGATGCAACCTACAACTTGGCATCAAAGCTAAAATTCTGTTGTCACCACATCCATTCTTACCTCATTTTTCCCCCATGTGAAAGTCCCTGGTTTATGCACATAGGTATTTCCCAAATTGCTTCAGCTTCTCCCATTCTTATAGCTGGCAATGGCACCTCTCAACCGAGAATTCATACTGCCTAACTGCTTAAATATTTGTTAAACATAGCTGCTCCCCCGGAGGTTGTATGCAATTTTTCTTGACCGCATTTTCTCAACTTAAAGATTTGATGACTAAAGCGTTCTATGAGATTACAATTTTAGAAGTCAACAAGTTAGCAAAGTCATCCTAAGATACTATAATAGGATGATCACAGCAGTAGTAGAGATACAGATTAGGCCATCTTAGCAATCCACATTCTTGTAAGAGACTAAAGCCAGTGTAATTATTCACTTAGCATGTTCTTAGTTGCTAGAACTTGGCTTACTTCCACATAAAATTCTCTCTCCCTGACAATTATCAAAGAATAATTTGGAGTGGTTCTCCTACTGCAAACCAGACTTCTTTGAAACAAAAATAGAAAACATCAAACCTGCTAATTGTAACAAGGAGTCATATTGAATACTTGGTTGTTAATCCTGATTCAGATTAATCAAAAAACTCAACCCCCATTTTGCCTCTGGTTATCAAAGGACATTTCACGAAACATTCACATAATGGGAAAGAAAATGAACCGACCTTAAATAACTCTTGCATAAGGCAATTGGTGCATTATTCTTGTAATCAAGTATCATTCAAAACACATGTTTATAGTTATACAATTGAAAACACAACATAGACATCATAAAACAGGTGAACCACAAAGGATTTTGAGCAGGAAACAATGTCAAACATATGCCAGAGACTCAATGAATTCAAAAGCCGATACCCATCCACTAAAATTTAACGAACCTTCAAAAGAAAAACACTCATTATCAGTGCGCGAGGAACGTCAAACAACTCTTTAAAACTCTTGTGCCGAAAATTATACCTTATGACCTTACCAGGTATGTGCAGCACTAAAAATGACTCCTCATCCTTCTCTTCCCGAATAAGACCCAGTATGACAAATTGATAGTAATGCAAGTCCGACGGATCAAGTGAGCTACGAATCATCTCCAGAAATGCATTTGGAATCGCGTCAATATCAACCCGGTACTTGACAAACCACCCACGGTAGTCCCTCTCCATCGCATACACATTGAATTGCGTAGTGCGAGGACCGTAAATCTCAATGAGATGCAAATGATCACGAGACTCCCCAAAATACCTGAGCCTCCTCTCCTCCCAACCGTCAGGGATAGGAGGCATCGGCATCGTTTCAAGACGATCTTCGTCAACATTGAAATACAAAGAATCGCCACCAGAGGTGGAAATCCAATGAAGAGCACCATTCCAAAACACACCAGGATTGAAACTAACATCGCCATTGAAAGGGTCAGCGGAAGGCGACCAGAGGCCGGTTTCCGACGAAACGATGTCGAGTTCATAGTGATCAGGCAATCCCCAAGAGAAATTAATAGAAACAACTTTGTAGTGAGGCGATTTGGAGGGATCAAAAGCTAAATTATAAGCATAAAAGGTAGTGTAACAGCGTAAAGGTGCGAGAACACAGCGAGGAGGTTGAGGAAGAGTAGCGAATTGACTAGTAGTAGGGTTATAGATGTATAAATGGAGACCTCGACAAAGTAAGAGACCATTGCAGGACTGTAAAATTCGCAAATCGGAGGGATCGTCGACGAAAGTGAGTGCTTTGAAAGGGGGTTTTGATGGGGATTCGTAATGGAGGAGAGAGAGGAAATCGAACTCAGGATGGATTTGGTGGGAATAGCGGTAGAAGAAGAGTCCGGAAGGTCGGGGGTTTGGTTGGGTGGTTCGGAGGTGGAGGAAGTGGGGTGGGTGATGAGAGAGAGCCGGTGTTTGGATACAGATTTGAATCGGAGGAGTGATCGTATCGGCAGATATAGTAGGATTTGATTCAAGAGATCGTCGTTGTTTCCCACTGTTTCGGACGATGAGGGGTTGGAGTTGGGGTTGCGCTTGGGCCTCGGGGCGTCGACCATTTCTATAGAAAATTGAGCACCAATATGTTTGGATTTGGGATCGTAGAAAAATTACAGAGCTATTTGGGATTGTAGTAATTTTTTAATTTTTTTTAAAAATGTCAACCCTAATCTAAGTAATTCAGTTTAAGTGTAAATCGTAATCATGTTTCATTCAAAAAAAAGTTATTTGTTTATAATATATATATATTTTTTCTTTTGTAATCATTTGGAGAAAAAAAGTTATTTCCTACCTTAGTAATCACTCTTTTTTTTAATAAACAAATATGATTAAGGTCTTATTTGGGAAGACTAAATAAATATATTTTTTGACTTTTTATAAAATATGTGTTGAGCAATATGTTTGGATTTGGGATTGTAGAAAAATTACTGAGCTATTTGGGATTGTAGTAATTTTTTAATTTTTTTAAAAAATGTCAACCCTAATCTAAGTAATTTTAGTGTGCTAGGAATAAATTTTAAAAATTCAGTTTAAGTGTAAATGGTAATCATGTTTCATTCAAAAAAAAGTTATTTGTTTATAATATATATATATTTTTTCTTTTGTAATCATTTGGAGAAAAAAAGTTATTTCCTACCTTAGTAATCACTCTTTTTTTTAATAAACAAATATGATTAAGGTCTTATTTGGGAAGACTAAATAAATATATTTTTTGACTTTTTATAAAATATGTGTTGGGTTTGAAGTGATGTGTTAGAGAGATGATGTGACTTAAATAAGATGATGTGACTTAAATAGGATAATGACTTTTTGACTTTTTGTCTTTTTTCAATCTTCCCAAACTAGGCCTAATAATAGGAGTATTTTTATTTATTTATTTTTTCTTAAATAAATTGGTAATAAATTCAATTTAAGGAATTCGCAACGCATTTAGTAGATATTTTTTATTAGTGAGATGTCTATTATTTGTGAAATAATTTAGTGAAAAGTCTTTTTGTTTGTTTTGAAATACATTTTTTTTTAATTTTACTCCTTAATTTATCTGTTAACTTTTTTATCTGTCGACTTTCGTTAACTATCTATTCAAATTTTTTTCTTATTTGTTCAAAAAAAATTATATATGTTCAAAAGTTTGCCTATCTGTTCAAATTTATATCTATTTGTTCAATTTTTTTCCTTATCTGTTTAATTTTTTCCCTTTATCTATTCAAACATTTGTCCAAATTTTATTAGCTATTCATTTTTTTTATATATGTTGAAAATTTTGCTATTCATTTTTTTTTTATATATGTTGAAATATCAAGCCCCTATCTGTTCAAATCTTTCTTTCTCTCTTTATATTCCTATTTGTTGCAATATGTTTCACCATCATCACCATCATCATCATCATCATCATCAACAACAACATATCTATTCATTTTTTTCTATCTATTGAAATATGAAGCCTCTATCAATTCAAATCTTTCTTTTTTCTCTCTCTCTCTCTCTCTCTCTCACTATTTGTTGTAATATTCGTCTATTATAAAATTGTTTCTTCATCAACAACATTCATTATCATCATCAAACAATAACAATCATCAATAATCAACTACAAAAAAAAAAAAAAAAAGGATAGAGAACAAAAATGCTATCTACTTTAAAAAAAATAAAAATTAGATAGAGAACAAAAATGCTATCTACTTTAAGAAAAATAAAAATTACACATGGATACATATATACATATATGTATGTTTGACTAGTTCTATAGATTTCACCACACACTCATACATACATACATATATACATATATGTATGTCTAACTGCACTGCAAAAATTTTAGTTTTTTGCGGCGGCAAAATGCCGTCTCAAAAAAGTTTTAACGACGGTAAATGACTTTTAGCGACGGCAAAGGGAGGGTCACAATAGAGTGTGTTGCAAAAAAGTTTTAGCGATGGCATGCCTCCGTCACCTTTTTTTTGCGACGGCAAATGTTGGCTTTCATGACAGCGTTTTACTATCGCCTATAATATGTAAAAAAATGAGACCTTTGCGACAGCAATGCTTTTACCGTTGCTAAAACTTTTATTTGAGACAGCAAAAGAAGCTGTCGTGAAATTTAACTTAATTTAATTTTATTTTTTGAGACGACATTGCCTATGTCGCCAAAAACTTTACATTTTAGGTCTAATGTTTTTGTGACAATATGGTGTCGTTGCAAAAAATAAAAAATAAAAAACTGCAATAAAATTATTAAAAATATTAAAATTACTTGTATTAAATGGAAAAAAAATTGAAAAAAAAAACTAATAATTGCATAATAATATAAAAATTCCTGTATAGAAATAACAATTTCACCATAATAAAAATATTTTTACATTCATAACTAAACATCAGCAAATTACTCCACTACATAATGTTGCATAATACATATATAATGTTTAAGTACCTAATGTTGTTCACAATTCAAAATAATATAAATAAAAAATAGAAGTTTTCCTCATCATTCTCTGTGGGTAACAAAAACAAAAGTTAGTCGCATTCTTCACGGGCATGCATTCCACAATAAGCAAACTCCTTCTTGGAAAAAAAAAATAATAATACTAATTAATGACAATATAATTACGAGTTAAAATGTTGATTACAAAAAATATAAAAATTTAACAACTATACAATTACAAAGATAATTAAGTAAACATATTTGCCCAGACCGAAATCCGATTTTAACTCCCAAATCGGGAACCCGATTTGTGTCTCGTCTTCTCCCACAAGCCTCTTGTGCCTAGGCGGTCGTGTGTGCCATGTTTCGTGCTAATCCGACACCGTTTGGTGATTTTGGGGTGTCAACACCTCGAATTCTATGTTTCTTAAGGAACTAGTTCGCCGAGACTGAAATCCGACTCTAACTCCCAAACCGGGAACCCGATTCAAGTAGCGTCTTCTCCAACAAGTCTCTTGTCCTAGGTGGTCGTGTGTGCTAAGTTTCGTGCTAATCTAATGTCATTTGGTGATTTTGGGGCATCAACACCTCGAATTCTAAGTTTCTTAAGGACCTAATTTGCCGAAATCGAAATACGGCTCTAACTCCCAAATCAAGAATCCAATTTGAGTCAAGTCTTCTCCCACAAGTTTTTCGTGCTTAGGCGGTCGTGTGTGCCAAGTTTCGTGCTAATCCAATGTCGTTTGGTGATTTAGGGTGTCAACACCTCGAATTCCACATTTCTTAAAGAACTAGTTTGTCAAGACCGAAATCCGACTCTAACAACAAAATCGAAAATTTGATTTGAGTCTTGTCTTCTCTTACAAGTCTCTCGTGCCTAGGCGGTTGTGTGTACCAAGTTTTGTGCTAATCCGATGCCGTTTGGTGATTTTGGGGCATCAACATCTCGAATTCTAAGTTTCATAAGGAACTAGTTTGCCCAGATTGAATTCCGGCTCTAACTCCTAAACCGGGAATCTGATTCGAGTCCCGTCTTCTCCGACAAGTCTTTCATGCCTAGGCAGTTGTGTGTGCCAAGTTTTGTGTTAATCTGACATCGTTTGGTGATTTTTGGGGTCAACACCTCGAATTCTAAGTTTCTTAAAGAACTAGTTTACCGAGACCAAAATCCTGCTCTAACTCCAAAACCAAAAATCTGATTCGAGTCCTGTTTTCTCCCACAAGTCTCTCGTGCTTGGGCGGTCGTGTGTGCCAAGTTTCGTGCTAATCCGACACCATTTGGTGATTTTGAGATGTCATCACCTTGAATTTTAAGTTTCTTAAGGAACTAGTTTCCTGAGACCGAAATCCGGCTCTAACTCCCAAACCGAGAACCCAATTCAAGTCCTGTCTTCTCCTACAAGTCTCTCGTGCCTAGGCAGTCGTGTGTGCTAATTTCCGTGCTAATCCGACGCCGTTTGTTGATTTTGGATCGTCAACACATCGTATTCTAAGTTTTCTTAAAGAACTAGTTTGCCGAGACAGAAATTCGGCTCTAACTCCCAAACTGGTAACACGATTCGAGTCACGTCTTCTCCTATAAGTCTCTTGTGCCTAGGCGGTCGTGTGTGCCAAATTTCGTGCTAATTCAACGTCGTTTGGTGATTTTGGGACGTCAACACCTCGAATTCTAAGTTTCTTAAGGAACTTGTTTGCCAAGACTGAAATCCGACTCTAACTCCCAAACCGAAAATCCAATTTGAGTCACGTCTTCTCCCACAACTCTCTCAAGACTAGGCGGTCATGTGTGCCAAGTTTCGTACTAATCCGACACAGTTTGGTGATTTTGGGGTGTCAACATCTTGAATTCTAAATTTCTTAAGGAGTTAGTTTACCGAAACCGAAATCTAGCTATAGCTCCTAAACCGGGAATTCGATTGAAGTCCCGTCTTCTCCTACAAGTCGCTCATGCCTAGGCGGTCGTGTGTGCCAAGTTACATGCAATCTGATACCGTTTGGTGATTTTAGGGGGTCAACACCTTGAATTCTAAGTTTCTTAAGGAACTAGTTTGCCGAGACCGAAATCCAGCTCTAACTTCCAAACCGGGAATTCGATTCGAGTCTTGTCTTCTCCCACAAGTCTCTCATGCCTAGGCGGTCTCGTGTGCCAAGTTTCAAGGAAATTCGACACCGTTTGATGATTTTGAGGCATCAACACCACGAATTTTAAGTTTCTTAAGGTATTAGTTTGCCGAGACCGAAATCCGGCACTAACTCCTAAACCGGGAACCCAATTCGCGTCCTGTCTTCTCTAACAAGTCTCTCGTGCCTAGGCGGTCATGTGTGCTAAGTTTCTTGCAAATCCTACGCTGTTTGGTGATTTTGGGGCATTAACACCTTGTATTCTAAGTTTCTTAAGGAACTAGCTTGTCGAGACCGAAATCCGGCTCTAGCTTCCAAACCAGGAACTCGATTTGAGCCTCATCTTGTCCCACAAGTCTCTCGCGTGTAGGCGGTCATGTGTACTGAGTTTTGTATTAATCTGACACCATTTGGTGATTTTGGGGCGTCAACACCTCGAATTCTATATTTCTTAAGGAACTAGTTTGCCGAGACTGAAATCCGGCTCTTACTCCCAAACCGAAAATCCAATTAGAGTCCTGTCTTCTCCTACAAATCCCTTGTGCCTAGGCGGTCGTGTGTGCTAAGTTTTGTGCTAATGC